TTTTTTCAGTCTAGGTTCCAGACCACCTCTAATAATTACGATATAAATAGTTTTTCAAAAATTTGTAACCGTCACTTTTGAAAATGTATGTCGACTAGCATACGAAACGTCAAGTTTTGTATTGAAATGCGTTGGAATACAATGTTTATCACCGCTGTTTGTGTTATATTCTTAATGAAGCCACGATGGTCTAAGAACAAGAGTTTATACGATATTGAATGTCATTTTGTAATTCACAACAATCTTTACTAACTGTAACTACCCTTGTTCCTTTTATGCTTGAAAACTCAGTTCAGTCTTTAACATTGTAAAGTCTTCTTTTGTTGCGATCTAAAAGGTCTAGCACAAAATGTAATTCTTGAATTAGCTAATAAGCCCCAGACCTCAAAGGGTGACCTACAAGCCGGAAGTAGATCCAGAATGCAATCTGGACTTATCTTGAATCTTTTCCCTTTATGAGTACGATAGGTGGAAATCTCACTTGACAGATGTCATCATCTTGGTGGGCGGAGTCATCGAAAATGACGCTCTACCATGCTGCCACTGTTTTAATCCGCTGACCAGTAAGTGGTACTGCTTGTCTCCAGTGATTGACAGTCGGTTGAACTTTAGCCTGGCCAGGCTACACGGCTGGTTGTTTGCTGTGGGTGGTTCCACACCTGGGGAGAACATGACTGTTCTCTCGACGGTCGAGAGACTGGACCCTAAGTTTAACACCTGGGAGAAAACGACTCCACTTAGTGCAGGTAAAGTGTGTCTGTGAGTGGGGTAGGGGAGAGGGGGAGTGATTTGCTCGTTTAAAAAAATCCAGAAGTGTGACTTACACTCAAAGAAACTCGTCAGACCTGCGTTTAAGTTATGACAAGTTGGCCTTATGTCGAAGTCAAACGATCCAAATGCCTAAATCTGATGCGATGAACTTAATGATAGGCCACTCGAGTGAACGGAATAAACAGTCATAATACTGAATTTCTCGTTGCCGAGAAATCTTCAAAATCCACAGATCGGTTAATGCTATCTTTGAGTGAAGTAAATTTTTTCTTCCTTTCTATCGGCTGAAAACTTTTTTTAGCTTCTTGACATTGGCATTCTACAAGACAAGTCCCCCTTGGTCGCGTCTTTCGCTTTTGCTGTACATGTAGAGTCTAGGAGGCCAAAAAATAAGGGCTGATTCCGCCTCTCAATATATATACAATAGCCTCCATTTGGCGCGAAAATATGCTCGGTTTTTTTCCTCGGACATTATCTGTTCCGAGTAGCGAACAAAACTGCGAGCTTTGAGGAACAGATAATGCCCTTGGACAAATATTCAAGCATATT